CTGGCTGGGGGGACAATGCCAGCAGCTTAGCTGTATCTCTACGTCTTCCACCTGTTCAGATGGAAAACTCACACAGGGAGTTGAGCACACATAACGGACCCATGGGAAAGATCCTGGCCATAGAGTTGTTAAGAGTCATTAGCTTATAGTGGATTGTGATTCAGTCGTGTAAATGGATGGCATCACCTAGGCAACGAAGATAGATTTTAGAAATATTCAGGGACTGAACACTGATACTCTCTAGTATTCAGAGGAAAAGAAAACAGAAAAGGGTCAGGAAGACACTGATGTCAAGTGGTCAGACAGCCTGGGAGGGGAACAGAGATTAGGTCAGAGGTCATATGGTAGATGACAGAAGAGCCCACTTCAAAAGAAGATGTAGCTGGGGATGGTGGTGCATAGCTGTAAATCCCAGCACTCAGGAGGCTGAGGCAGGAAGGTCAAGGCAAGTTTGAGGCCAGCTTGGGCCACACAGTGAGTTCAAAGCCAGCCTGAACTACATAGCAAGTTCCTTTCTCAAAAAAAAAAAAAAAAAAAAAAAAAAAAAAGCAACAGATGCAGGTGATCCAGCTGGGACTTCTGTCACCGCACTGATAACCAAGGCTGATTTGGCTGATCTGGCTAGCTTGTCCCCTTCCTCCCTCACCATTCACTCCCCGTGTTTCCTCCAAGGCTGCACGCTCAGAGGAAGAGAACAACCTTCCAATGAGGAATGGCTCTTCAGCCAAGTGCACACGAGTAGCTGCACTCCCCTGCTAGAACTCCAAACAAACTCCAAGACGGGGACCCACCAACCACACTGAGTGCTCCAGGCTGGGCTGGCAGAGGAGCAGGAGGAGGCCTGAGGGCCCCATGGATTTTACATGGAGCTCGCTGCTAAGAGACTGTGTGTTGGTGTCGTGTTTCACAGCCAGGGTTGGGACATGCTCTAAGGTGCAGGATGTTTTCCAGCACCCCAAGTGTCCTCTCCCCCATGTCAGTAGACCCTGCCACCACCTGTACTGACCCTTTCTATTCTCCTCTGCCCTTTCTATTTTTATAAAACTCCACCTCTTGGACCAAGGATTTAGCTCAGCAGTGTCAGCACCTGCCTGGCAAGCACAATGTTGTGAGTTTGATCCCCGGTTCCCTTCCCCTCAAAAAAAAAGCCCCACCTCTCGCCTTCCGAAGTATACCAACAAGTTCTGGTGATTTTTTTTTTTTTGGTACCGGGGATCAAACTCACAACCACATGCTTGCAAGGCAGGTGCTTATGCCACCGACCTAAAACCTCAGCCAGTCCTGGTGATTTTTATCTCCAAGTCACATCTCAAATCTGGTCTCTTTCATTTTTGCTTCCACTGCCTTCCTCCAGGCACAGTCCCAGTTTCAGTTCTCCGCCCTGGTACCCCTCAGTCCATTCTGTACAGCCAGGCTAACATACGAGTGAAACGAACCAGGTATGTCACACTCGAATTAAATATTTTCTGTGGATTTCTATTGTATTTGGCATAAACTACAAATGGCATACAATGGCCAATGGCAACTGTCAATCTCAGCTCCACTCTCATTACTGTCTCCCCTCTCCAGCCTTGATGGTTTGCATTCCTAAATCCTACCACCTTTCCTATCTCTGAGCTGAAATGTTCTTGTTGTACTCATCACATGACCAGTGCTTTTCTTCCCTAGAAGTCCTATGAAACCTCACCTTTCCAGAAAACTCTTTCCTGATTGCACTCTCAAAAGAGGCTCTCTCTTAACTCCTTGTTTATATATTTTTTGTGTGGGAGCATAGACTAGTGCAACCACTAAAGTATGTTTACAGGCTGTAATTTTTTTTGTGTGCTTGTGAACTGGGGTCTGAATCCGAGACCTTCATTCTGAACTATATTCCCCAGTCCTTTTACCTTTTACTTTTTCTTTTCTCTTTCTCTCTTTCTCTCTCTTCTCTCTTTCTCATTTTAGACAGGGCTTTGCTTTGAACTCACTATGCAGCCAGGCTGGTCCCAATACCTCAAGGTAATCCTCCTGCCTCAGCCTTCTGAATGCTAGAATTACCTATGTGCCTCAATTTTTAAAATTTTTTGGACAGGTCTTACTAAGTTGCCAACTCTGGGCTTGAACTTGAGATCCTCTTGCCTCAGCCTACAGAAATACTAGGAATAGAACAGGGTTGTTTTGTTTTTGTTTTAAAACTGTCTTATCCATTATAAAGCCTATTGCATAGGGACTGGGTCTGTCTGGTTCTAGTTTTTGACACCCTGCTGGGCAAGAAGGAAACAATAATAAATATTTTAGTAAATGATCTCCAAGTTGAGGATGGTCTTTTCTGGTTGAAACACCCAAGCATCCATCTTTTTGTTGTGTGCTTTTTTCTATCTGAAATCCTTTATCTCAACCCACCTGGATCTGAGGTTCTCAGATGAATTTTAGGTTTTCGAAGCAACCAGGACGGCAGACCCCCCTGGAACAAACATAAAAACCACAAAGGAGCATGTAAGCTTTGCTGTTTTGGGTGTCCAGTGAGGAATTAAGAAGGGAGAGAGTTGAGTATAGTACTGCAAGTGGCTCTAGAGTTTACGCAGAGAAAAACCACTGTGGGCGCCTTTGGTTCAGTCCCTTCTCAAACCAACTCACCATCTCCCACTCTGCACAGATGTAAGGTCCTGGTCTTAGTATGACCAACAGGTTTGCTATAGCTGCCTCATTCAAAAAGGCAAGGAGGTCACGGCTGCCATTAAAAATATAAACGCCAGGCTGTGGCTCATGGTAGTTCCAGGGCACGTAACTGAGAAAGGAAGAGGTGAACAAGACCAGAGGTGGGAAGGTCCTAGGCAGGGCCCTAAGGGCTCTGGTCTTGCAAGGAAACTCCAGGAAGCAGCTGGAAGAAGGTTCTGGCCCTCCCTCCCCGAAAGACCTCCCTTGCCCAAGGGCCTTGCAGTGCTAATCCCTATCAGAATCTGTCTCCCAGTGCAGACCCACTTCCTAGGGGGACAGTAGGAAGAATAAATCAAGGCTCCCCTGAGTGCTTCTTACAGCTGTACAGCGTTGAGGCCGCTCAATCGCATCTTAAAAAGCCGGTCTGCCCAAAGTACCCTTGGTACCCGAAAGTAGTGTAGACTGCCAGATACATAGCGGAACGGGACCCCATCCAGCAGAAACCTGTCCTGTTCCCAGTCTACAACGAACGACCGAGAGTCTGCCTGCAAAGCAAAGAGAAGAGCCTGTGCTCAGCAGAGTTCTGCAGAAAAGGGTCAGCGTCCACCAGGAGCAGAGGAGATGCTCGGCAAGCTGTTCGGTGGTTGACTCTCCCTCATCCGCCCGAACTGTTCTCACTCACCGTACCCGGTCAGATAGTACAGCCCTCTTATCGTACCTGGGGCTGCAGGAGTGTGAGGAGCTGCACCAGCCAGGAGAGAAGGCAGGGCGGTTTCTTGCAAGCCATGGCGCTCACAAGACTCCTCTCCTCTGAGCTGTGGGCCCGACGTCACGTGTCAGATTCCTGGGAGGGAACTTCGGGGAACAAGGGGGCGGAGACCACCTCAAGTTTTCCGGCGCTTAACTGGGACTTTGTTTCTAGCCTGCAGCGGCTCACTGATCTAATCATTTTAAAAATCCTTTCCATCTTGCTACTCAAAGTTTAGTTCACCACTCAGCTCAATCAGCATGACCTGGGGCTCGTTAAAAATGCAGAATCTCAGGTCCTACTTTAGATCTATAGAATCAGAATTTGTACTTTAACAGATTCCCAGGAGAGCCTGAGCACGGCGGGAAGTACTTTGTCCATCTTAAATTTTCCTGCATTTAGAATGGGGTCTGGGACAAAGCAGGTGAAATCCAAATGACTTGATGTCAGAACCAAGGGCTAAAAAATAGGTTCAGAAACAAGGGAATCTGTAGAAAAATATTGATGGTGATAGGGATGCAGAAGTCGGGGGACAGGTCACAAGATGGATCTTTTCCCTGGAAAGTCTTGTTACAGCAAATGAGGGTCACCCCACTCCAACTTATTCATGTCTATCTGAGCAAGAGATGTCAAGGGCACTGCTTGTTTCTAAGGCTTGAGGACTTGTGAATGTCCATCCCTTCTGCTTTCACAGTCCAGATGACCAAGGTGACTAGTGATGACTATTTTCACTTCTATTGATAGTCATTGAGGGTTTTGTGCCAGACAGTGTGCTAAGCACTTTACATCTCATTTAATCTTCAAAACACTCCATGAAATAATTATTCTCCTTTTATATAAAGGAAAACTGAAGGATGAAAATACTAAATAGCCAGTAGTGGGATGACTTATTTAACAGAGCTGGGATTTGGAACTAGTCAGTGTGGCTTTATTTTATTTTGGGGGGACAAAGTCTCGCTTTGTAGCTCGGACTGGCCTTGAACTCACTGTGTAGGCCAGGCTCACAGCGATTCTCCTGTCTCATCTTCCAGAGTGTGGGGATTACAGCCTTGGGCCACCATACCCGGCTCAGTTTGGCCTTATGATTCATGGGTTTAACCTTAGATACTAATATGTCCATTTTATAGCTAGGAAAAGTGAAGATTTTAAATGTTAAGTAACTTACCGGAGGTCACACGGGTGGGAGGTTCTTAGGACCACATTTAGAAGCTAGTAGACTGGTTCAAGAGTCTAAACTCTTATCCACTGACTCCAGGGCCCTGAAGAGGATACAGGTGGTACTCCCGAGTCCAGGCCGGCCGTCCCTGTTCCTCCCTAGATCCCACTTTGGGTTGTGCTGTAGCAGGCAGAAGTATGAGGCCTCCTACCCTCGACATTGGGAGATGGAGGTCCTTGGGCTTCAGGTCGAGCCCGGCTTTGCTCCCCTTTGGCTCAAGTGTTTGAGTCTTGACCCGTACTAAAGGCCAAATGGGGAACCCTCACCCGGGTCCTGGGACCCGTTCACCTCCAGGTCTAGCCCGCCCCCGGCTTCTTCACTCTGAGCGCCCACATCCTCGAGCAGCCCAGCAGTTGCTAGGATACTGGGGGCCGTTACTCCGGCGCAGACAGATGACGTGTCGACGCTTCCGGTCTCTGACGCGTCGCTTCGGCAGAAGCAAGGCCTGTGGGCTGTGCCGGGTGGCGGACCTTAGCTGAGCGCCTCGAGGCGTAGGGTGTTCTTTGCCAGAGGTGGGCGCGAGCATCACACCTCCTCCAGAGCTACTCTGTGCCTTATCTTTGAGATCTGATGGGCGCAGGAGCGGGGCTCGCCCCGAGGTGGGCCGGAGTGGAAGCGGCCTGATAGTTACAGCGCGGCCTGAGGCTTTGAGCAGCCTAATTCCAGCCCTCTTGGAGCCGACGTCTCCAGGGCCTGTTTTCTGTAGACGGGACTCTAGATTCCCAGACCTGAGCCTTAGCTCTCCCTATTGATACTTCAGGGGCCATCTGGATTGTGTCGGACCCGTGACTTGCCATTGGTTTCTTCCCAGCATGATCCGCTGGGTCCCCAGCGCATCTCCTGGAACAACCCATTCGTCCTGGCCGAACCCTCAGCAGCCAGAGATGGTCCTTGAGGAGAATGCGTGAGACATTATGGGCCACGCACTGTGTGTCTGCTCTCGGGGAACTGTCATTATTGACAATAAGCGTTACCTGTTCATCCAGAAACTTGGGGAGGGGTGAGTGTTTGGAAATCATTCAGCTAGTCCCCAGGGTTATGGTCACTGAGGGACAATGCTCTGTGTATGACAAGAACACAAGGGTTTGTCTCTGTCCTCTACCTCATCGTATAGAACCTTAGCTGAGTGGGTTGAGGAAGTGGATTCTGGATTCTTGGGGGAGTTTCTGTTCAATTCGACAAGTACTCTCCGAATGGGAGTTTTTCTGGGTCCAAGCCTTATGGGAGATAGTTATGGTCCTTCACTGACCCCTTTGGCCCACAGTGGGTTCAGCTATGTGGACCTAGTGGAGGGGTTACATGATGGACACTTCTACGCCCTGAAGCGAATCCTGTGTCATGAGCAGCAGGACCAGGAGGAGGCCCAGAGAGAAGCAGACATGCATCGCCTCTTCCATCATCCCAACATCCTTCGCCTTGTGGCTTACTGTTTGAAAGAGTGGGGCTCAAAGCATGAGGCCTGGCTCCTTCTACCCTTCTACAAGGTCAGAAAGTCTCCTGTGTAGGAAAGGGGTTGCAACAGAACCACCTACCAAAGGCTGTGCGAGCAGTCAGTCATGTTAGGGAGCGAGTATTGTGTCCTGGATCTGATCAGTTTGGCTTGGGGTTTCAAAAAGTCCAGGTGGGATTTTGGGGTTTGAGATATGTGTAAGGAAAGGGTTGATGGGGTTGATTCAGGGAGGGTATCAGGCCTAGGGAACAGAGAATCCACAAGCATCTCAATGTGGGGAAACTTGTATTGCAGAGAGGCACGCTGTGGAGTGAGATAGAAAGGCTGAAGGACAAAGGCAACTTCTTGTCTGAGGATCAAATTCTTTGGCTGCTGCTGGGTATCTGCAGGGGCCTTGAAGCCATTCATGCCAAAGGTTATGCCCACAGGTCAGTGGAAAGACCCTGTATACTTGGAGGGGCCAAGAGAAAGAGGTTCCCTAAGAGAATGGGGTCTGTCTCTACCTTCCTCCCAAAGAAAGTTCCCATGTTTCTTTCACTCCCTGGGATTCCAGCCTCCCTGTCCTGGGATGTTTATGGGTCATTTTCACTTCCCTCTAGGGACCTGAAGCCCACCAATATCTTGCTTGGGGATGAGGGGCAGCCAGTCCTAATGGACTTAGGTTCCATGAATCAAGCACGTATCCATGTGGAGGGTTCCCGACAGGCCCTGACCCTGCAGGTAAGAATCTCCAGGTTCCTTTGCTCATCCATTCCCATCCCCAATTCCTTTCTAGTGCATTCTCTAATTTGGTCACCTGACTGTGGCTTGTGTCCCACTTTTGCACTCTGGGGCCACTGTTCCAGGACTGGGCAGCACAGCGGTGCACCATCTCCTACCGTGCCCCGGAGCTCTTCTCTGTGCAGAGCCAGTGTGTCATTGATGAGCGGACTGATGTCTGGGTGAGGAGCTTGGGGGTGGGGAGCAGGGCAGCTCTGCACCTAGTGTGGAGTAGCGGGAATAGGTCTTTGGTTTGTGTTGTGTGGGGCCCCAGAAACCACAATATGTCCCCATACCCCTCAACTTCCTTTCTGGAAACTGTTACTTGATACTGCACTCAGTTGCTCAGGAAGTGGTGTGATCCTTGCCCCTGAATTGGGTGGGTACAGCTCAGTGTCAGTGCTTAAGGTGGAGGCTAAGCAAGGGCTGCAGCTAATTGGGAGTTTATCTCGGCCCTGGGGGAGGGGTGTATTTTTGCTAATGTAGTCTCTTTTCACCACAGACAATACATACAAGGAGAGATGTCATCTCTGTTGGTCCTCTTCTAGGGACTTACCAAGTTCTGCTCAGTCCCTAGGTTGTGTGCTCTATGCCATGATGTTTGGGGAAGGTCCTTATGACATGGTGTTCCAGAAGGGTGACAGTGTGGCTCTTGCTGTGCAGAACCAACTGATCATTCCACAAAGTTCCAGGTGAGCAATAAGAGAGGCATCAAGGTGTTCACATTCTTCCCTAGGGTTAGCTGAGTTTGAGCCTCGGGAAGGAGCAGAGGCGTCCTCCACTCACCCTGCCTTCTTTCCGCCACAGGCATTCCTCAGCAGTGCGGCAGTTGCTGGCCTCCATGATGACTGTGGACCCCCAGGAGCGCCCTCACATTCCTCACCTCCTCAGTCAGTTGGAGGCTCTGCAGCCTGCAGCTCCTGGCCAGCACACTACTCAGATCTGAAGAAACCAGTGGACAACTTGAGGACCACCCGTTGTGCCTTGGAAAGAGGCTTTCATCCCTCATTGGATCTCTACCCATTCTGTCAGGACTGCTACAGTTGGGGAGAGAGTGGGGGGACTATTATCCCTGTCCTATTTCTCAGTCCTCTTCTGCTCTTACCCCCAGTATCCAGGTAAGGGGTCTGAGTGGAGCTGGGCCAGGGTGAAACTGAGAAAATGTGATACATGGCTCTGAGCTGGACTGCTGGGCATGTATCATGGTCAGCTTCCAAATCTGGAAGCAGAATAAAGTGAAAGCAGGTTACTGTGGATCTTAGTCTCTGTGTCTCTGGAGGGCAAGAAGAGGTACAAGGGCAAAGTCTGGCTGCCATTTCCAAGGTAACAGCCTGGGAAAAGAACTGGCAAAGTGGGTGTCATTCCACCTAAGGAGATAGGTGTAGGATCTGGCTGGTGAGCAGTCCGAAATTGTAGCTTATCTTAGTCAAAAACTTGAAGCTGCTTTGGCCTGAGCTGGCTTCAGCTTGTGCCAAGAATGGGGACTAGGCCCCCTAAAAGTACACAAGTTCTTTCCTTCCTTCACTCCCAGGGGTGGGTAGCTTAGCCAAAGCAGCTCAGCCGGTTTGCCAGGCCAAGGACTTCTGGGTGGAGACACCTGAGGAAGCTTGGGACAGCTACACAACAGGTCTCCCATCCTTAGCCTGGGGGAGGGGGTGGAGCGACTGCCTTTTTGGCAATGTCTCCCTGATTATCAAAGCTTACATATGATTAATAATTAACGAGGCTAATGTGGTGTGGCAGTATCCAGCAGCTACTTCCTGGCTGTTATGCTGAGTAAACAGGGGCCCTGCTTTACTAGGCTTGAATGTTCCCTAGGGAAGGGCATTGTGTCCCTGAGTCACCAGGGAGGGGCGGTAAGGGCAGAATTGGCATCTCCTGCTCCTGAGAGTGAAGACCATTCCCAACCAGCTGACGTCATTGTGGGTCCTAGGGTGCCTATTAGTAAAGCTGAATTCTTCCCCAGGGCCGTGGGAAGAGGTCCCACCAGCTAGCAAGGAGGCTGAGGCAAAAAGCTCAAACAGACAGGAGAGGACAGGACTTTTAATGGCATAGCCCCAGCCCCAACAAAGCAGCAAGACAGACAATAAGCTATGCAAAGCTGAGAGGTGCAATGGCACAAACAACTCTAGGAGACTACCCTTTCCCATCCCCCAGGCTTATGACAGGGCTTTGTGCCCAGGAACTTCGGGCCAGCCCAGCCCCATTCCCAAGCCCTCAGTGCACACTGGAGCCTGGGCCAAGGCTTGTTCCAGAGTTGGTAAATGTAGAAGCAGCAGGAGAAATAGGGTAGCAGTCCAAATCTCGAATACAGAAACTACTGGACATAAACTCCTGGTTGGAAAGAAGTAAAGATTTGTATCCTTTAACAGTTTGTGGCTGGATTTGGTCTTCATTTTCCTCCCTATCCTGAGTGTCCCTAGGGACCTGGTATCACCGTCCCTGTGGTCCTGTTTTGTGGGCCTGCTTCACCTACAGCCATGGAATGGAAGAGGGTCATGAGCAGCATCTAGTGAGGGCAGCAACAGCAGCAGCAGCGGAAGCTCAAGCACTCACAGAGGGACAAGAAACCGTGCAAGGAGACTGTTTATTTCGAAAGAATTTTGCAATAGACATAGTGAACAGGCTTCAGGCAGCTGGGCTATTCTTCTCCCTCATCCTCATCCTCATAGGAGTCGATGCCCACTTCTTCATAATCCTTCTCCAGGGCAGCCATATCCTCCCGGGCCTCTGAGAACTCACCCTCCTCCATGCCCTCTCCTACATACCAGTGTACAAAAGCCCTCTTGGCATACATCAGGTCGAACTTGTGGTCCAGGCGGGCCCAGGCCTCTGCGATGGCGGTTGTGTTGCTTAGCATGCACACGGCACGCTGCACCTTGGCCAGGTCGCCCCCAGGCACCACCGTGGGTGGCTGGTAGTTGATACCAACCTTGAAGCCCGTGGGGCACCAGTCCACAAACTGGATGCTGCGCTTCGTCTTGATGGCCGCGATGGCAGCATTGACATCCTTGGGTACCACATCTCCGCGGTACAGCAGGCAGCAGGCCATGTACTTGCCGTGCCGGGGGTCGCACTTCACCATCTGGTTGGCAGGCTCGAAGCAGGCATTGGTGATCTCTGCCACTGACAGCTGCTCGTGGTAGGCCTTCTCGGCAGAGATGACTGGTGCATAGGTGGCCAGCGGGAAATGGATGCGAGGGTAGGGCACCAGGTTGGTCTGGAACTCAGTCAGGTCCACATTGAGGGCCCCATCAAAGCGCAGGGAGGCGGTGATGGAGGACACAATCTGGCTGATGAGGCGGTTGAGGTTGGTGTAGGTGGGGCGCTCGATGTCCAGGTTGCGGCGGCAGATGTCGTAGATGGCTTCATTGTCCACCATGAAGGCACAGTCTGAGTGCTCCAGGGTGGTGTGGGTGGTCAGGATGGAGTTGTAGGGCTCGACCACAGCTGTGGACACCTGGGGAGCTGGGTAGATGGAGAACTCCAGCTTGGACTTCTTGCCATAGTCAACGGAGAGCCGCTCCATCAGGAGGGAGGTGAAGCCAGAGCCGGTGCCCCCTCCAAAGCTGTGGAATACCAGGAAGCCCTGAAGTCCTGTGCACTGGTCAGACTGAAAGTAGAGAAAAAGAAAGAGCCATGTCACAAGGGTGGAAGGTGGGGAGGCAAGTGGGGGGAGCTGAGGAACTTTTCTAGCTCCATGAACTCTCAAATATCTTGAAAGTTAGGGACTAATGAGAGACTCACAGTGGCATCGCATTCTAGAACATATAGCTAGAGATGACCTCCTGATACGGATCTGAAAAAAGCTTTTTCCTACCCATTTGCTTAGTCACAGATGTTCCTTTCCTTCCATGCCAATTCTTACCAGTTTTCGGATCCGGTCCAGCACAGGGTCAATGATCTCCTTGCCAATGGTGTAGTGGCCCCGGGCATAGTTGTTCGCAGCATCTTCTTTCCCAGTGATGAGCTGCTCTGGGTGGAAGAGCTGTCGATATGGCCCATTTCGGATCTCATCTGGAAGGGCATAAACCACACTACTGAGCTAAAACCACAAGGCTATGCTCAGCTGGGGCCTTCCTCCCTCCAGTGTGATATCTGCTGCCAGACAGATGGAAGAGCTAGCTCATCCTTCTGCCAACCCAAGATATCAGTGTGGGAGAAACCCAGACCTGCTGTGGTCCATGCCAGGCTGCGATCAGCTCCCCTGCTTTATCTTCAGTTAGGGCTGGGAGTTTTTCAGAGCCAGGAAGCCAAGACTAGATACCCTCTCCTCAGACTATCCACCTCCCTCAAATTTGCGCCCTCGTCTGCTTACCAATTACAGTGGGTTCCAGATCCACAAAAACTGCCCGGGGCACATGTTTTCCAGCACCAGTTTCACAGAAGAAGGTTGTGAAGGAGTCATCTCCTCCACCGATGGTCTTGTCACTGGGCATCTGCCCATCAGGTTGGATCCCATGTTCCAGGCAGTAGAGCTCCCAGCAGGCATTGCCCATCTGGACACCTGCCTGCCCCACATGGACTGAGATGCATTCACGCTGAGGGACAGAGAGGGATCACAGCATAAGCACCACATCCTTAAGTACCTACCTCACGAGCCTTTCTCCCACTTTATCACCTACCAGCCAGGATGACTCAGTTGGCAAGTGGGGAGGCTTCAAGCTGGCAGAGGTGAGAGGAAGCTGGCAGCCTCCCCAGGCACCCTTGCATAGGAAAAGGCACCCAGTAGGGCAGGCCAATCCCTTAGCCTACTTCTCAGTGGGAAATCTGTCAAATGAGAGCTGCAGTGGCTCATGCCCTGCCACATTCACAGGACACTCAAGGAGGACAGAGAGGGCACATGCATAAAGACAGGCAGACACCGCAGTGACCCAGGAGAGAAGAGACTTTCCAGCTGCTCCTGCAGCCCACACACCCAGCTTCTTGAGAGCCCGACAAGAAGAGGCGTTTGTAGCCACAGGCCTCACACTTGCTTCTTTGATGAAGAATAACTACAATTTGCTATAACCGTCTCCCCTTCATTCCTGTGAGTGAAGAGGTGTCTCGGCCTTCCCATCTGGCATCAGCTGACCACACTGGTCATCAGGATGCCCTCACCCCCCACCTTTAAATCCCATCTGGCGCTGGGGATCCATCCCATCTGGTTTCCCCTCTCCACCCCCGCACTCTGCGTCTTTATCACCTTCATCCCACCGTGCCAGCCTCCACAAACAGGGATAATGCTAGTAAGGGCAGACGGCAGGGCTGGCAGTGAGAAGTTGTGGGCCCTGGGTCGCTTTTTGCTTTGGGCTCAGTCCCTGCCAGTCCAACATTAACCCCTGAAGCAGCAGAGCCTGCAGGACGGTGCACCTTCCTTCCCACAACGAAAAGCAGGGTGATGGTTTCCAAACCCAGAGAAGGAAGCGGAACCTGCGGTAAGGCCCCCTGAGGTAACCTGCTTTGCCCCAGCAAGGCGAGCGCCATCCTGCACCCAGGGCTACATCCGCTCTCCTTTGGAACCTTTCCAGATTCATCCCAGCCGAAAGCCGGGATTGGGTTTCGGCCCCCGCTCCTGGGCTATAAATACCATCCCCCTACACACACCTCTTCTCCTCCCCCCAACCTGGCCTCGGCCGGCGCTGTCGCTCAGCGCCAGCTGTCTCTGCCTGTCCTCTGCGCACCCGCGCTCACGCAGGATGGGGCCAGCTTGCCTCACGAGACCGAACCCCATTCCCGCCTTCCCTCCCGGCTCAGAAGCGGGGTGCTGAGTCACGGGGGGGGGGGGGGAATTCGAGGTGGGAGGGACGAACACACACAGGAAAAGGGGATGCGACACCAAGTAACTTGACTCCCTCCACCTTCTGGCGCCAAGCACGTGTTTGGTCAGTTCTAGGGACTCCCCGGGGTAAGGATAGGGGGCATCCAAGCAGGTCTTCCTCCGCCCGCTGAAGGCACTGGGCGCCAGACCGCGTGACTCCCCCACTCCAGGAGGGCTGGGCACAAACGCTTAGGAGGGCAGAGGGGATTAGCAGAAGAGTTCTCTGCAAGTGAAGAATCCCCCAGCCCCTATGCCTAGCTCCCAAAGGCGGACAATGCACCACGCCAAAGTCACCAGGAGGGGGTTGGGGGAGTGCACAACCTTTGCATCTCCTAGAGAACCCAAACGCTGGGTGAAGAGTCCCGAGCATTTCTGGAGGGAGGTCCCCCGCAAGGAGAGGGGCAGTTAGGGCACAGCAGCGGCCCCAGTGGACCTCACTCACCATGGTGAGTCCGGGTGGTGCGTCTCACGTAGAGTCGGGGTGACGGGTCTCGGTGAGAACTGCGCTAGCTGCAGTGCCGCACCGCCCTTATATGCTGGGGGGCGTGGCCCGTGCGGTCTGCCCACCCACTCTGGGCGGGCACCCTGAGACCACGCCCCCAAGCGTCCCTGAGGGGTGGTGCCAGGCTGGATCGCCACCAGCCGCGACGCCGAGGCCCTCACCTGTCTGGTTGGGGTTAGGAGTGGGGTCCCGGGCTTTGACCCTTCGTTCCGCGTTCGGAGCCGACGCCCTCGGCTCTTGAGATCCGAAGCGCGGACGCAAGGGGGGGTGACACACCAGGTTTCGCTTACACCTGTGTCGTGTGAGGTGCGGCTGTCCGGGTGCTCTGATTTGGGCTGGGCGCTGCCGAAGTCCTCCTTCCAGGTTGGCTGCGGGCGGCCATCTCCCGCGCCCTCCCCGCACCGCGTCTCGGGGGGATCGGGCGGCCCGCACGACTCTTGAGGGTCGCCGGGGTCACCCTTCCAGTCGCGCGCCGCCTGCTGGTCCTCGGCCGGGACTGCGTGCCTTTGCGCGCGCTTGTGGGCGGCCGCGGACGCAGATCCGCAGAGTCGGAGTCCCAGGGTGCCCATCCGCGAGTCTCGCGCAGAGCTGAGCCGGGCATCTGCCGCGCTCGCCGGCCACCCTCGGCCCTGCGGCCCCGTCATCGGCGCCGTCACTATTAGTGGGTCCTGGCCTGGCCACCTCAACGCTTTCCTGCGGTCAGAATCGCGGGGCGCTGGGCCCGCAGCTCTGGGGACCTAGAATTGAATTCCGTCTGCGCTGGACAACTGGGTCGAGTGATTTAATCCGAGTCCTGGGTACTGCCAACAAAAGCCATTCCCTTCGTTCCCGGTGTTTTGTTTGTTTGTTTGGTACTGGAGATCAAACTCGACCTTGTGCTTACCAGGCAAGCGCTGGAGCCAGTGAGCTAAATCCCCAGTCCTCATTCATTCCTTCTTTCCACGTATCTTTCTTTCTTTCTTTTTCTTTTTTCACAGTATCTCGCTCTGTAGTTCAGACTGGCTTTGAACTCACTGACTTATGTAGCCCAGGCTGGCCTTGAACTCAAGGTGATCCTCCTATTTCAGCCTGTCTGTCCAGTGCTGGGATTAAGGACGTGTGCCACTGTGCCCAGCTTTATTTTCAATACTTAAAGGAAGGGTGGTCTTTTCAAGTTATTTCTGCTAACCCCTGAGTTGTTTTACTTTTTCTAGCTAGGTGTCTCTCTGCACTGGGGAAATCTGCAGGTGATAAGTAACCTGTAACCCAGGCTAGTTACCACTTGGAAAAGTTTCATATGCCTTTCCTCTCGTCCTGTTTCTCCAAAACTGTTCTACACAACACAATACCATAAAATAATGAGTGATTCTGCCTCTCCCTCTTCCTTCCCCTACCTTTCCCTGTCGCTGTCTCTGTCTCTGTCTCTGTGTCTCTCAGGTATTTTTTGGGGGGGGGAAAGGGTTACTGTGTAGTTTAGGCTGGCCTTAAAAATCACTATCCTGCCTCAGCCTTCCAAGAGCTGGGATTACAGGCATGCCGTGCGACACCCAGTTTAATGGCAATTTTCTTTTCTTTTCTTTTCTTTTTTTTTTTTTTTTAATCTTTTTTCGTTTTATCAGTACCAGGGACCGAACTCACGACTGCCTGCTTGCAAGGTAGGTGCTTATGCCGCTGAGCTAAATCCCCAGACCCCTAATGGCAATTTTCTATCAATTCATTGGCATTTGATTTAGGCAAGCGATAGAAATACAAGGAGTGTCATGTGACAAGGACTTTCTAGTAGATTTGCCATCAGATTGGGAGAATGAAACTCACTCATATGAAGAAAACGGATAAGGGAATGTAACAAGAATGCTCTGGGAAGTGTGCTGATGGTCACTGTGGTGGAAGGAGCCTTGGTGATTATAGGACTCTTGGTCCCCTGCACCTTTTCCCTCATCCTGATTTTCTCTGGCACACCTTCTTTTCAGCAGAATGAGTATAGTATAAGAGATCTGAGCCATTGTAGGTAAAACCCTAAGCCTGTTGGGTTTTCCCTCGTGATCCAGCTGTGCAGTTCTTCCTTTGTGAAAATGGAATAACTGCTTTGGATCGGGAAGACCAGATGGACTTGTGAACACACACACACACCCAACAGTGCACTGGTAAGTAGCTGCCAGGGTTCTTGGAGCATTTTGTTCACATTTACTTCAGTGTAAAGTGCTGTGGCTATTTGTGCCAATGTCTATCTTACCAGAGAGCTTGCTGAAGGTGCAGACTGTGTTGTGTCATCTTTGTGTCCTCAGTTGCTAACCTGGTGCTTAGCGTACAAGCTAAGTTTTGCTGACTGCATATGGAGCAGGTTGATTCTCTTCAGACATGGAGCAAAGCTAAGGTATAACTCTAAGAAGCACACATTGGCACCCCAGAGCCTAACTTCCTTCTCAGAAGCATTTTCTTGGGTCTTTACGTTGTTAATAGTGTTTAGAAGATGAGAAGGTCAGGAATGACTGTGTGGAAACCTCTCCCAGACCATGATAGGAGATTTGCTGGACGTGCATAGAGTTGTGCTTTCAGCTACGTTTTATTGCTTCAATGTAGGAAAGGTGTACAGGATTCACACACAGCATACTCTTCCTTCAGAATAGACACAGCCACATTTCTCTGCCATGTTTCCACCCAAAGAAGCCCACTGGAGACTTGGCAGTTGACATTGAACTGGCGGCTTGTCACACAGGCATCTCTGTCTAGCACATGCCAAGTCCAGACTCCTAGAAGAAAAGCAGGCCATGTTGCTTGTTCATCAGTATGATTGGAGACACTCTAAGAACCAGGTCCCCAGACACCAAATGCCAGCACTCTTAGGCCAGCTGTGTTAACTCTTTTCTGCAGTCATATGAAATCCCAGATGTTGACTGGCAGCTATGATCCCAGCTACTCAAGAGACTGATACAGGAGGATCCCAAGTTGGAGGGCAGCCTGGATGACGTAGGGCATTAGTGAGACCCTGTCTCAAACTAAAAGAACAGTAAAGCCCCTGGGTCTAATCCCCCTCTCCAGTAATTCCAGATATCTGGAGAGAGATATTGAAGAGAATTAGAAGCCTGTGTTCTCATTTAGCAATTTAGGTTGCTAAGTTGCTAAATTCTAATCATTGCTATGTTACCATACATGACAAAAGAACTTTGCAGATGTGACTTTAAGGTGAGGACCTTGAGATTAGTCTGGACTGTCAGGTAGGCCCAAGATGATCACAAAGGCCTTCTCTTTTGAATGCTAGAAATGGACCCAGGGCCTTGCACACACTAGGGCAGTCTCCTGCTACTGCGCTACACCACCAACCCCATGAGGATCCACAAATGTGAGAGGGGGAGACGAGGGTCAGAGTCAGGAAACAAGAGATCCAAAACAGCGACAGGAGTGACGTGATTATGTGCTTGGAAGATGGCTAGAGGCCACGAGATAGGAACGACAGCAGCTTCTAAAAGATGGGAAAGACAAGGGACAGTTCTCATGAATCTCCAGAAGGAAGGTAACCATGGCAACATCCTAATTTTTTTTTCTTAGCTCCATAAGACCCATTTTTTTTCTTCTGATCCTGAGTACTGTAAGATGATAAATTTGTGTTATTTAACCACTAAGTTGCAAGTGGCACTTTGTTACAGCAGCGGTGAGAAACTAGTACATGAATAAATGCAGTGGACAGTGCTACCTCAGGACTGGCAGGCTCCCTGCTGTTCATCTCAGTCCTTGTCATTTGCAGTGTCTCCCTAACACTGACGCTGATGCCAAGTGCTGTTGCCATTTAACTTCATATGTTCAGCGCACATCACACATTTATGTCACCCTGCAGTAGAAGTTTACAACCTGAGTAGACCGGGTGCAGGACACTGTAGCCAAGGCACACGTTAGTGAAATGCTAAGTAGACTCTGCTTCCCACTGAGACTGAACTCATGACTTTGTGCTTATCAGGTGCTGGTGTTGCTGAGCTAAATTCCTGGCCCACCTTTCTCCCACCCTTTCCTTAAAATGCCTCTCAGTACATCAGCTCTATATGGTTGTCCATCTGGCCACACTGTCTCTTTGGGGTCTCCCCCCTTCTAACTGCTTATTCCCTCTGTCTTTCTAAACCCTTCCCAGGATTGAATCTCCCTTTTGAGGCAAGACAGCAAGGGCCTCAAAGTTTAAACTGTCATCTAGGGAAGGCAGAGCTGGAATCTATCTTTGTGTGTGTGTGTGTGTGTTTTTGAGACAGGGTGTCACTATGCAGTTCAAGCTGGCTTTGAGCTCATTTTGTAGCCCAGGCTGGTCTCTATCTAGTTTGCAACAATCCTCTTGCCTCAGTCTCCCAAGTACTGTGATTACAGGTGTGTGCCACCACACCCAGCTTTTTTTTTTTTTTCTTTTTTTTTTCTTCGGTACCAGGGATCGAACTCATGACTGCCTGCTTGTAAGGCAGGTGCTTATGCTGCTGAGCTAAATCCCCAGCCCCGACCCAGCTTTTTTTAAAAAAAAATTAGAATCTCAGTATGTAGTCCAGACTGCTTTTGAATTTACAGCAATCCTCCTGCCTCAGCCTCCAGAGTGCTATTTGTGCTCTTGACATCTCCACTTAAAAAAAAAAAAAAGTCGCACACCCTCAACACAGTCTCAATTTTCTATTCTTACTGTATTCTCTGCCAAACCTGCACCAAAGTGCTTGAATTTAAAACCTAGGATCATATTTCTCTTTCTCTCTCTTCCTTCTCTTTCATTAGAACATTTTGGCTGTAAATGATAACCAATTGTAGCTTAAACAATGGGGATATTCATTATCCCATTAGAAATCAAAGCAGAGGGCAGTTCTAGGGTTGATTTGGTGATGTCATCAATAGCTCTGGTATTTCCAGCTTTCTGCTCTGGCATCCTCAGGGAGATGGTGACATTTTCCCTCATGATCACAAACTGGCTGCCGCAGTATCATTATCATGTCCTCGCATGGCACGGTCTTATAGCAGGGAAAGAGAGTTTCTTCCCACATCTCTTTATGGCAGGGGGAGGGAGCTTTCTTTAAAGAACTCTACCCTCCAAAAAAAAGGTTAAAAAAAAGAAAGAAAAAAGGAAGGAAGGCAGAAGGAGAGAGAAAAGAGAAAGACAAAAATGAAAGGGAAGAA